GTAAGGAGACCAATAAGAGCTTCTGTAAGGAGCCCAATAAGGGCTTCTGTAAGGAGCCCAAGAAAGGCTTCTGTAAGGAGCTTAATGAAAGCTTCTGTAAGGAGCCCAATAAGGGCTTCTGTGAGGAGCCCAGGAAGGAGCTGAGAGAAGCCTTCTGGGAGGAGCTGAAAATGGGTCCAGATGGGTTTTCACCCCGGAACGGTTCCAGGGTGATTCTGGAACCTGAAACGGTCAGCGTCAAGCTTCCAGAATCACCCCGGAACGGTTCCAAGTGATTCCGGAACCTGAAACGGTGGATTTTGCTCGATTGAGCGCCGCGCATACCTGTCTCACCCTTGCAATCGTGTCAGAGATGGATGGCGGGTGCTTGCCAAAATGCGGCTCCGGCCTTAGCGCCGCGAAACTTCGTATGACATCCTGCAGCTTCAAGGATGGAGGGCGAATGGGTTTCAAAATGTGGTTATCGCCGTAAGGTCGCGCGAATACGCCTTAAACACTTGAAGCAGCATGGAGGGCGAGCGGTGTTCAACATGTGGTTCTTGCCTTAGCGCCGCGTGCATTCGTCTTAAACCATGATCGCCTTGACACATGAGAGCCGCTTCAAGGACTCATTATTCGGACGTCCCCAATGTGGTGTTCTAGCACGATGCAAGATTGTCAAGACGCAAATCGTTCATCCGCGATGTAGGGGTATATTGGGACCCTCGGGCCGTCTAGAGCGCCTCATGGGGCATCTTGGAACAGTCTGGGGCCAACTTGGGCCATCGTAGGGCTTCTTTGGGGGCTTCTTGGGCCGTCACGGGGCTGTCCATGGGGCCTCGTGGGCCGCTTTGGTCGCGGTCGGCGTAAAAACTCCTGACGCAACCATGCTAGAAACAGATAACGGAAAGAGCGAGGTACGAGTGATGACGTTGAGTTGGGGCAAAGCCCTTAAGGGAGGGGTCCAGGGGAGGGGCGAGGGCCCGATGCAATGTTGGTAATGGCCGTTTTCGGGTTTTCCCTTAGGTTTTTGCATGTTTTTCGGATTGCCCCCCAAGACGGCCCAAGAACGCTCCCAGAGAGCCCAAGACCGCCCATGACGGCCCAAGAGGCCCCCAAGAGGCGCCCAAGGGGCGTCCCAAGAGGGCCCCAAGAGCCAAAATCATTGATTTGTCAACGTGCATTTTTCGCATATGCGGCTTTTCGGCTTTCACGGCGTTGACGACGGCCCAAGAGGCCCCCGAGACCGCCCCAAAACGGCCCAAGAGGCTCCCAAGAGGCCCCCCAAACGGCCCAAGAGGCGCCCAAGACGGCCCCAAGCGGGGGACCACGAGCCGAAAGTCCAGCCTTTCGCACCAAAACGCTCCCAGAGGCCCCCAGGGCCCCCCAAGAAGCCCCAAGACGCCCCCAAGAGGCGTCCCAAGAGGCCACCAGGAGGCCCAAATCCTTGATTTCCTTCGGGGAAACGTACATGTTTAGCATACACAACTTTTCGGCATTCACGGCGTTGAAGACGGTCCACGAGGCCCCCAAGACCGCCCCAAGACTGCCCAAGAGGCTCCCAAGAGGCCCCCCAAACGGCCCAAGAGGGCGCCAAAACGGCCCCAGAGGCGCCCAAGACGGCCCAAGGGGGCCCAAGACGGCCCCCAAGAGGGGGGCCACGAACCCAAAAGTCTAGCCTTTCGCCCCAAGACGCTCCCAGGAGGCCCCCAGAGCCCCCCAAGAAGCCCCAAGAGGCCCCCAAGAGGCCCCAAAAAGGCTCCAAAAGGGCCTCAATATGACCCCCACGAAGGCCCCGAGACGCCAAATAAAGAGCGATCGGTAACGCAAAAAGCTCTTCACACCAAGGCTCCCAAGAGCGAAGGGTGACGTACACAAGCTGATAAGACCAAAGCTCCCAGCAGAGAGCGGTGACGTAACAAGTTCCTGACACCAAGGCCCAGCCAAGGCCCAGGAACGGGCGGCAACGCAACAATCTCTGAACAGCAAGGCTCCCAAGAGCGAGGGGTGACGTAACAAGCTCTCAACGCCAAAGCTCCCAATACGAACGGTGGTGTGCGTAATTTCGGTTTCTGTTGCTGTGCTCTTTCCGTTTCCGTGCCGGGCCAGGTGTTTCCTACAGGAGCGGGGCGATGTCTACTTGTTGGGGCTCCCTCGTGGCTCATTTTGGAACGAAATCTGGGGGTCGTCGACGCCCCTGGGCCCGTTCGAGAAGCACGGTGAGCCGTCTGAATCTCGTGGGGGCCGTCCTGGTGGAGACTCGGGGCCCTCCTCCCCTCCTCCTCCTCCTCCTCCTCCACCTCCTCCTCCTCCTCCTCCTCCTCCTCCTCCACCTCCTCCTCCTCCTCCTCGTCCTCGTCCTCGTCCACGTCCTCCTCCTTTTTCTCCTCCTCCACCTCCTCGTCCTCGTCCACGTCATCGCCGTCCTCCTCCCCCTCCTCCTCCTCCTCCTCCTCCTCCTCCTCCTCCTCCTCTTCCTCCTGCTCCTCGTCCCCCTCCTCCTCCTCCTCCTCCTCCTTCT